GGGGAAAGCCACGAAGGAAGTGTGCTCACAGCAGTTGCTCCAGGAATGCATCTGCGCAGAATCACCAATAGTTTCATTCTTTTTTGTTTTTTGTGTTTTTTTATTTTTTACTTCTAAGCTAGTTTCCGTGCCCTGCCCACAAGGCGGGCCGTTTTCCACGGACAACTGACAGTTGCAACCAACAGTGCACTCTCACATGTACTCAAGATTCTGTATCCAGCTGCTTTTACGTCCAAAGAATCGTTGCTATTTTTGCTTCTTTTTTGTTTTCGTACTGCCGTGTGTGCTGAGGGCTGTAACGCCCATTGGTAGGGCATATTCTCATTTCTGCCCAATGTCTCGTATCCAGCTGCTTTCACGTCCAAAGAGTTGTTGCATTTTTTGAATTTTTTTTCCTCTTTTTTACCTTGTTTTTCCTATTTCCGTGTTTTGCTGAGGGCAGAAGCGCCCTTTGGCAGACTCTCGTGTGTACCCAATGTTCTGTATACGTCTTTTCTTTTTTCCTTTTCTTTGTTTGTTTTTTTTTCCGACGGGTACCAGAAAAGAGAATACAATGGGACCCAGGCTTCGCAAAACTCAGAACGCAGTGAAATTCAGGGTCGGCAAAAACAGGCTCGGAGGTAGTGTTGGTTTAAGATTAAAAAAAAAAAAAAAAACGATCAAGCGCTGTGTGATTCTATTACTATTCAATATTTATTATTATTACTATTTTGTTGAATTGTTCTTTATAATCATTATTCATTTTTTACTTCTGTTACTTAACTTACTTATGGTTATTCATTTTCAATCCTGTTATTTATTGTTATAATGTTATTTAATATTTTATTGTACATGATTATGTTCACAGTTATCTCGAGTTCCTGGCCTACAAAAAAGAACCTTAAATCAGGAAAATGTGAAAAACAACACCGCAGAGAGGTAATATCGAAAGCACGACACCTCAGCAGAGAACACGTCAAGGCATCCGTTATCAGCCAGCTTGCATACTCTGCTCAACAACTCAGATATGCACAGATATGCATAAGCACAAGCGCGGCAAACAACACCCAAAGGACTCCCCCAGTCTCAAAACAGTGCACAAACCTGACATTGGAATACTGTACCTCAAGAAACCATGCACCCCAAGAAACCCTAAACCCCAAGAAACCCTAAACCTCAAGAAACACCCATAAAATACGTCAGTAGCCAAGCAGACAGCGTGCACCTCCTGCTCAACCACACAGATGTGCATGCATGCCCATGTGTATGCGTTCAGAAGCTAACATTGGAAGCACCCAAACGCAAGAACACACCTGAGCGAACACTCAGGTGACCCATGCTGTCAAAAGCGCATGCCCATGTGCATGCGTTCA